GATTCTCACTGGCTCAAGGTTGACTCAGCCTTCCATCCTCCGTGGTCGGTAAACTGAGAAGCCAAGCTTGTGGAGGGCAATATGTTGATTCTGTAAACCGCTTAGAGAGGGCTATAAATACTGTAAAGCGGTATATAAGTGCTATTGCTAATGATTAACAGTTGCACTGATTCATTTAGCAACTGTGGCAAGAAAGACTAAACTGGGGCAAAACTCACTTAACGCCTGTCTCAGTTAGCAACAGAAAATTTGGGCTCAATCGTGGTCTCAAGTCAAAGAGTAGGAACTGTACTGGGAAAAAGGACAAACAAACAAAAAAGTGTGCATGGTATCACAGAAACACTTTGAAGCCTGAGTGAGGCTGGTGGGATTTGTGGCGTAAACCATACAATATCTCAGTTGGGAATAAAGGACACCGATCACGATGCTGTCTTTAACAATGTGCCATATGGCTTTGAAAATTTTCTCCCCTCGGATGATTTGCCTTCAGAAAAGAATACAGGAGCAGAGACAGCCGAGGTGAAGAAGAGACGTGTGAGCCGAACGGTGTGTCCATTTCACTCCTATGAGTCTCTGCAGCTGCTTCGGGACGAAGTGCTGGTAGAAGTGAAAGATATAGAGCAGCTGGTTTCTCTGGGAAAAGAAATGAAGGCCTGCCCTTATTATGGAAGCCGGTACGCCATCCCAGCTGCTCAGGTACACGTTTGTGGATCTTCTCTTGAAGCTTTGCTGATGCCTGGAAACAGATGGCCTCCTTTTCTTTGTGTGTAGCCTTGTGTCCTTTCGCTAAATCACTCCGGGATGATTCGGCTGGTGCTTTTTCATGCCTCAAAATGTTGATCAACCTCAAGTGGTAGATAGATTATAGAGCTGCTCCATGACAGAGATGGGTGGTCTATAAATACAAAATGATATAAATGTCAATATCTCCTCAGCTTTTAATTTCACAATATTGTATTTTCATTGTTTATTTCTTATTGTGCTATTCCTTCACTAATTTTTTTAATCATTTCCCCCATTTTATTATTATAAGCTGCACAGATAGCCCCTGGCAAGATGGGCTGCAAATAAATTTAATACCTAGCAAGCTAGCTACTAGCTAGATGATAGATAGATAGATAGATAGATAGATAGATAGATAGATAG